TGGAAATAGATCACCCTACAGATGAGAATGAAGACAAGTCACTAAACTCACTGCCATCAAGTCAGTTTTGACTCACGTTGACCCTACTGGACAGAGAAGTGCTCCTTAGGGTTTCTGAGTCTGTAAATCTTTACACGAGCAGATTGCCTCAGCTTTCTTCCAGGGTGGCCAGTGGGTTTCAACTGCTGAAACCCAAGACATAACCCAGTGCACCACCCGCAGAGATCAGCTAAAATAGAATGAGCTGGAGCAAAGAAAATCCCAAGCAGTCTTCACCCCCTCAGTTTAAGTAGCCGCCTGCTCTTCCGTAGTACTCTGCCTGGTCCTCTGCACAAGTCGATTGGATCCTGTCTGTCTGTCTACCCCGCGCAACAATATAAGCTCTTCCAGAGCAGGTGTCATGTTTACCTGTACCTGACTATGTCCCTGGGTAACACAAAAGCCCACCCAGTGATGCCTGGAAATCTTCTTCCATAAAGATTAAAGTCACTTTCTTAGATGGAGGTTAATTAAGTCTGGCCTCAGATTTCTCCATAGTCAATATAATAATGGAATAGTATCTACAAAGTGCTAAGGAGAAAAAAAACTGTGATCCAAGAATATTAACCTAGCCAAATCATAATTCAGGTATAAAGTCAATAGGCTCAGTTCTTTTTTCAGAAATCATTTTATTGGAGGCTCATACAACTCCACAATCCATACATACATCAATTGTGTCAAGCACATTTGTACATTCGTTGCCCTCATCATTCTCAAAATATTTGCTCTGCACTTAAGCCCTTGGCATCAGCTCATCATTTCCCTTTCCTCCTCTCCCTCCCTGCTCCCTCCTGAACCCTTGATAATTTGTAATTATTATTTTGTCATATCTTACACTGTCCGACGTCTCCCTTCACCCACTTTTCTGTTCTCCATCCCCCAGGGAGGAGGTTATATGTAGATCCTTGTAATCGGTGCCCCCTTTCCATCCCACCCTCCCAGTATCGCCACTCTCAGCACTGGTCCTGAAGGGATCATTTGTCCTGGATTCCCTGTGTTTCCAGTTCCTAACTGTACCAGTGTACATCCTCTGGTCTAGTCAGATTTGTAACATACAATTGGGATCATGATAGTGTGTGTGTGTGTGTGAAGCATTTAGGAACTAGAGGAAAGCTGCATGTTTCATCAGTGCTACACTGCACCGACTGGCTTGTCTCCTCCCCGCGACATCTTCTTTAAGGGGATGTCCAGTTGCCTACAGATGGGTCTTGGGTCTCCAATCTGCACTACCCCTCATTCACAATGATTTGATTTTTTTGTTCTTTGATAAGCTTGATACCTGATCCCTTCGACACCTCGTGATCACACAGGCTGGTGTGCTTCCTCCATGTGGGCTTTGTTGCTTCTGAGCTAGATGGCCACTTGTTTACCTTCAAGCCTTTAAGACCCCAGATGCTATATCTTTTGATAGCCGGGCACCATCAGCTTTCTTCACCACATTTGCTTATGCACCCACTTTGTCTTCAGCATTTGTGTCGGGAAGGTGAGCATCATGGAATGCCAGTTTAATAGAACAAGGTATTCTTGCATTGAGGGAGTACTTGAGTGGAGGCCAAATGTCCATCCGCTACCTTAATACTAAACCTATAAATATATGCACATAGATTTCCCCATCCTCATATATAAATATATTTACATATGTACATGCCTTTATTTAGACCTCTACAAATGAATAGGCTCATTCTTAAACATGAAAGAACCAAGGGGCAAATAACACCTGCAAGTTTTTGTTTTCAAACCGCCCAACAATGAAATTGTAGTCAACAAAGAAGTAAAGAAACAGATGCACTAGGAAGACAAGTAGTAGGCACTGAATCAATGTACAGATAAACAGAACCTATACTTTATTTTTATGCTGTTGTTTTTCAAAATGTGCAATCCCCTCATGTTAGTGTCCCATGCATGCTATGTGCATTACATGCCAGTTGTTAGGTAAGCCCTAATGACCTTATGCCCAACAGAACATAACACTGCCCAGTCCGACGCCATCCTCACAATTGTTCCCAAGCCTGAGCCTGTTGTTGCAGCCACTGTATCAATCCACCTTGAAGGCCTTCCTCTTTTCCACGGCCCCTCTGCTTTACTACACGATGTCCATTATATGGATGGGCCCATTATTTGCAAAGTCTATTAAGTCAATAGACAAGTTTATTCACGTTATGAATGGAACTACTAGCACTAAAGTAAACACAGTCAACAAAAAGCCAGCGGTGGACGCTGTGAAGAGGTAGGGGACTGCTCTAAGTGTTATCTTCCCCATCGCTCACAGCACCCTCCCACTGCTCTCAAGTCAGTGCCCACTCACAGGGACCCTGTAGGACAGAGAGCAACTCCCCTGTGAGTTTCTGAGACTGTCACTCTGCAAGAGGGAAGAAGACCCCAACTCTTTCCCTCAGATCGACTGGTTTCCAATGGCTGACCTCACCATTAGCAACCCACGGCATAACCACTATGCCACCAGGCTTCTGGTACAGCAAAACAGCAGGGGAGGAAACATTAAAAGCAGGAGGAAAAAAAAGCCATGAGGGCAAAATGTATCTGATATTAACACGTTTTGAGTGGAAAAACGTTTCTATTAAAAGAAAAAAAGACCCAAATTTGAATCAGATGGATAAGAAGTTGCACTTTCCAAAGACAACAGCAATGGCTGTCTCCTGTTGCACAGGTTCTTCTAGAGCAGTGCTTCTCCACCTTCCTCATGCCGCGACCCTTTCATACACTTCCTCATGTTGTGGTGACCCCCGCCCCCAACACTACAATTACTTTCATTGCTTTTTCATACCTGTAATTTTGCTACTGCTATGAATTGGGCAACCCTTGTGAAAGGGTCGTTCGACCCCCAAAGGGGTCACAACCCACAGGTTGAGAACCACTGTTCTAGCAGCTCCTTACTTAATCCAGAGGGAAAGCCCCACTCTCCTTTGTGATTATGCTAACAGACCACGAGTCCCCAGAAGTGACACTAAGACTTCAGGGAACAGGTTGTCAGAGACAATCTGACAACTTCTTTGCGAGCTGGAACACTTGCAAAGCCTGTAGCCTGGAGCACTGAGCCACTACATTTGGGGGTGATCTGTTATGAAGCAGAAGGTAACTGAAACAGAGCGCCACACTGTCTGTGTCTTCAGAAAAGGCAGCTCTATTAGTTCCAAAGTAAACCAAACACGCTTATTTAGTTTGGGGAAGTTTAGCACGGACAATGCCATTCCTCTGCAAAAAGCTAATAATGTGGCCAAAAAATGGAAACCTCTGTACAAGGTGAATCCAATCAAATTTCTGGTCTGGACAAACATCCTGAAAATTTAGGGAAACGAGGCCCTGAGCAAGCCCCTGTTATCCAGGACTTAAGACAACACATGAGTTTGGAAGCAAACCTTGGGAAACTCACAACGAGCCCGTCTATGTGAAGGGCTTCAATGGTTGCTTATAACTTGAGTCTGACAGACATCAAAATGGATTATCCCAGCGGTCTACCTTGACACTCACCAGCCATTTGATTCTGAAGGAGAAGAGAGCACTGAAAGCAAATATCACCCACAGCACAGGGCACGTAATGAGTCCTAACCAAAAAATTCTGGATTCAGCTTCTGAAACAGTTTTGCTCTCTGGAGAGGAGGCCTATAAAGGAATATAAATAATCACTGTGATATTGATCAGTAAAAATTTAACATTTTTAATGACACTTTACTTCAAATTCAGATATATTAATGTAGACAACTCATCCTTCACCTTCACCCCCCAAAATATTTTCTTACCACTACTACGATTTTATGAGGTGATTTTCAAAATATATTTTAAGCTCAAGAATTCTACCTTTTTAGTATTAAAAAAAAAAAAATTATCTTAGCCCAAAGTCAATTCTTATACCGTATATACTCAAGTGTAAGTCTACCCGAATATCAGTCAAGGCACCTAATTTTACCACAAAAACTGTATTAAAAATGTGCTGAAAAACCCGGCTTAACCATGAGTATATATGGTATATGTACTATTCAAAAGGAAGCTGTGGACAATAATATCTTAGTGGGTAAGGAAGAGGAAATCAAGGTTATAATCATCCTAGATAAGAAAAGGTTAAGTCAGGCTCCAGACTAACAAAACTGAGGTCAAGGGATTCTGGACAATGACTGAAAACACATTTAAAGGGGTGGCGAGTTTTTCCACAGTAGGACTTTATAATATAAAGTATGGGTGTGCTGAATACAGTGCTGGTACTTTCTGAGAAGTAGTGGTTTTAAAGATCCTTCCAAGCAGAACGCAAGCAATTTAATTTATACAAGGGGGGTCTCAAAAAGTTTGTGGAAAATTCCCATTAACCTTTTCAATTCTACTGTTCCACAAACTTTTCAAAGCCCCCTCTTACTGTCTCTATTTTGTCTTCTGTCCACTAGGGTGACCAGATGGAGCAACTGACTGACCTCCTATTTGATAAAGTTAGCAAGCAAACCCAAAACAGGCTCCCAGAGCTCCTGTATTCACAGGCTCAGAGAGTTGTCTGCTTCTGAACAATTAGGATTTTCTACACAGGTAGGAATCCCTTCTTTCTTCCCAACCGGAATTGGAAATGGGTGAGGGAGCATGGACAGAGCAGGATACTAGACACAACTTATCAGCTGCATTTAGAGGGATCCCTGCAGTTATCAGGCAATACAACAACAGTAAGCAAGCAGGGAGCCGACAGCTGAGCACAGTGCTCAAGTCCTCTGATTTGGTCATAAACATACCTTGTTTCTATTCTGAACTAGACAAGAAACACACAGTGACGTTTTAGAAACCATCTAGTTTAGTGCTGACGTGTCAAGTGATCTGGAGGGATGTTTCAGTCTTGAGAACATCATTCAAATTAAACTCTAAGGACACCGTTCAGAAGGAGAAAGGGAGCAGCTTGCCTTTCTAGCCTCGAATACCCAATGGCTCTTTCCATCTTCATCGACATGGTTCCACCAGCGCAGGCCAACCATCAGTCTGCCGGTGACATTCTGGTCAAGATGAACACATATTAAAATAAAAAAGATGAATATACACATTTACACACTTATTTTTAAAAGTACTGTTTGAAGGTCTACCATACATTCCTATCGTTAAGTGCAACGTTTCACAAACAAATCTTCAGCTTTACTTCCATAATGCCCAGTGAACAAGGACCATTACAATGTCTGGCCTGGCCAAAAGATTACATAAAATGGCAATAGCAGTAGTAGAGGTGACAGCGTAAACAGTAAAATCCATCCTTGTCCCTTCTCGGAATTCCCTCTTGAAATCCTGTCCATTTTCCATTTCTCTAATTTGTTCCCAACTCCCTCACTTTTTGGTTTCTAAGATCTACTTTCCCCACAAATCCCAACTGTGGCTACAATTACCCGTATATCCCTCAAAATTCCCCTGGCTCTGGCCCTTAGTCAGCATCTCAGGTGTACCAGTGCTCTTCTCATGTCTCACTACCTATTTGACAAAGATCTGCTGAGCTTTGCAGGGCACCGTGTTTGGTGCTGGCAATAAAATGGCGCATAATAGACACCATCTCCATTCTCATCAAGTGCTGGGGGGGCGGGGGGGGGGCAAGAGGTGATCAATCCGAGCACAAATGCATCGCCATTGTGCTCAGTGCAGTGAGGTGCTTTTCAGGAGTGTAAGAGGAAGATGTGATCCAGGCTGGGTGGAAATCATAATGCACAGATTTCCAACCTGGGGTCCATGAGTACACTCAGGTTTTATGAACTTAAACATGTATCTCAAGTTTCATCTCCCTGTACCTGAAATTTAGAGTTGTAACAGAACCTTTGTCTTTGCCACTAGCATAACCCACTGATACATTTCAATTTGCTCACTCCAGATAACTTAAAATATCATTTGTCCAAGTCGTTTCTGAAAGTAGTTGTCACACTTTCTACTAAGTCTTGCTACTTAATGCACTAAATAAGCCAAAACCAAACTCAAAGGCATAGAGTCAATATCGACTCTTATAGAAGAGGGTAGACCTGCTCCTTTGAGTTTCCAAGACTGTAACTCTTTACTGGAGTAGAAAGCCCAGTTTTTCCCAAAGGTGGGGTGTTGGTTTTGAACTACTGACCTTGCAGTTAGCTGCCTAACTTATAACCACTCCGCCACTAGGGTTCCTTTGCACTAAAAGTGTGCATATTATTATATCAGAAATTTGTCTTACATGGCGTAAGTCTCTGGTGAATCCCCTGACCATGGGCCAGGGATGTGAATAGCCTAGCTAACATGCAGAATGGATTAGAAAATAGATTGTTGCAGATGCTGTGAGGTTCAAATTTAGCACTGGAGTGGGGGTGTAGGGTGTGGGGGAGGGGGGGATGAGGAGCTGATACCAAGGGCTCAAGTAGAAAGAAAATGTTTTGAAAATGAGGCTAGCAATATACGTACAAATGTGCTTGACACGATGGATGGCGGTATGGATTGTGATAAGAGCTGTACGAGCCCCCAATGAAATAATTTTTTTCTCTCTTAGGAGCCATTTAAATTTTTTCTAGCTTTTAATATTTTTCTTTTTGATTGAGGTTTCTTTATCTGTTTTGTTATTCTTATTAGTGTTCTGTTTGTTTATATTTTCCTGTATGGAGACCATTGGATTACTGGCTCTTTGGAGTATGGCAAGAGGTTGGAGGAAAAGGGAAACTAATAATGATGAGAACGAGAAAGAAAATGTTCTAAAACTGATTATGGTGATGACTGTACAACTCTTCTTGGTGTGACTGAAGTATTGAGTTGTATGATAGGCAAATGATATGTTAATAAAACTTGAAGAAAGAAAAGTTTACCTTAAAATATTTTATAATTAAATTTCAATATTGGTGGTTTCCTTTGTAGTCTTACATATTTCCTTTTATGTCTTTTAAAGCCTTAATTATAACTTTACAAGGCTTTCAAGGGACACATGGCACAATGAAGGAATTCCTGTCCCAATGCCAAGTGGGTGTGAGAGAGCGACTCCAGGTAGAATGGGCACAGAAGTCCACGGAGTCAGAGTGAACCGGCTGTGCGGCAGGAAGAAGGCAGCTCATACACATACGACCTGATCAAGTAGAAAACGAGCGAATCCAGGCCCTGAGAAATAGGCCATTTATGGAGGAGCAGCATTTGAGGGGAGTTTTGACATGTTGGATTTTTAAGTGCCTTCAAGGCATCCAGATGAAAATGTCAGGAAGACAAAGGGTTAGAGGCCTGGAGCGGTGAGGACCAATCTGGATGGAGATAAACATCTGGGAGCCAACCCCTAAACACCTGGAATCATAAGCACGAATGGTAATGCTGAGGGTGAAAAAGCTTTTTAAATTAGAAACAAAGATGTCGCGCCAAAGTCAAAATGTTATAAGGTAGAAATGCTAACATTTCTACCACATGAGAAACTATGTAAAAGAGAAAAGCTGGCAAAGAAAATTAGGAACATTCAGAGGCTTATTTGCTAAAACTGCTTCCAAATATTTGTTTACACTCCTCCATTTCTAATGCTAAAACTTCTCATTATTTTCCTAATCTCTAACAGGCGTGTTGTTTTGTCGGGTTGGTTTTTTAAAAAAATCATTTTATTGTGGGCTTGTACAGCTCTTATTTATTTTTTCTATCCCTAACCCTCGCTTGTACAACTATCATCACACCCCATACATACATCCATTGTGCCAAGCACACTTGTACATTTGTTGCCATCATCATTTTCAAAACATTTTGTTCCTACTTGAGCCCTTGGTAAGAGCTCATTTCCTCCCCTCCCTCACGAACCCTTGATAATTTATAAATTATTATTTCATGTCTTACACTGACTGATGTCTCCCTTCACCCACTTTTCTGTTGTCCACCCCCCAGGGAAGGGGGGTTATATGTAGATTGGTTGATTTTTTTAACTCTGGGCCTGTTTAGCCTATTATTTTCGGGTTTTTTGGTCTGATAATAAAGTCCTGAAGTCTATGGTTTTCCTCTGCATTAGGGGAAAGCGTTGTATTTTTGAGAGAGGGGTTGGGAAGAGCAATTCTAGTTGTCGCTCATAGTAAGAGACTCTGATGGCAGCAAAGGCTCCCGGAGACGGCACTGAAGAAAGGCGCCGAGTGAGCTGCTCTGAGAGAGAAGGGTGATGAGACAAGCCCCCCTGGCAACGGGGTATGAATGCAGCTGCTCAATGACGGGCCCACCCTCCCTTCCTTCGTCATCTTAGGCACATCTCAAAACTAGGACCGTCAGGCTCATGTCTTTAAGGCCCAAACAATTTATATTTACAGCCGTGTTTACTTTTACACCAAGATATTTAGAAAACTTGCTTTTAAAAATAGTTTCCAAATGATAATTGTTGCCACGATTTTAAAACAAAAGACTAGTTAGTTCTATGGTACTAGATCAGAACATGTACGTAGGAGCTCTTAGACTTTCTTCATAGTGATTTTTAATCAGGTTTGGTGTCAAAAACATCAACAAGGTAGTATCTCTGTGGGATGCAGTTCTAAATGCTGTCATTAAATTGCCTCAATGGTTTCATTCAGATTCTTTTATGACTGTGTTTATTTTTTACCACTTCGGTCTATCAGAATGAGGTTTGTTAAAGACTCCTCCCATCACGATGTTTCTTCCATCCTCTCCTAATATTTCTAATAATCACACCCATGGTTTGAAGCACTGTTATTCTGTAATTGTCACTGTATTCGTACCTTCATTAACATACAATGGCATATTTGTTGTTATTCCATTTGACGCTAGCGGATCCTGATTTCCAGTTTATCTAATCATGTTAGAACACAAACCATATTTTGTTTGAATTGATCTGGTACTACCATCACCTTCTTCACTGGGTTTGCATTTGACTACTAATCTAAAGATCTGAACTCACCCTGGTTTCTTGTGTCCAGAGTCTAGAGCCAAAGAAAATCCAATCGGGACAGTTCTACTCTATAGCACATACAGTATTTGAGTTGGAGGGAGAGGGGTGGCGGTGGTGTGTGTGTAAACACTCACTACCATCAAGTGGACCCCCACTCATGACAAGCAACCTTGCAGGACAGGGTAGAACTGCCCCTGTGAGTTTCTGAGACTGTAACTCTCTATAGGCGTAGAAAGCCCCGTCTCTTTCCTGTGGAGCAGTTGGTGTTTTCAAACTGCTGCACATCACAATCCTCAACACCCGAGGGCTAAGGGAACTGACCACCGCTAAGCCAGCCAGGTATGACAGCTCTAAGGATTAAGTCTAAAAATGGCTGGTTTGGTGAATGTCAATACATTTAAAATATAGTGGTCTTGGACTCAGTATTATGGGTGACTCTGACCACTAACCATTGGCTTAGCAGCTGAGCACTTAGCCATTTGAACTCCTGGGCATACTGCAATCAGTTCCAGGAATCTCAAAATTCCTATTTGTTTGAGGGTCTTTTGTCTTGTCCTCCTGCCCCCATTTTACTAAAAAAATTTCATACACACATAAAAGCTGGGCTTTACAATGAGCACTCATAGACCTACCATCTGGATTCCATACTTACCATTTTATTATCTTATCACACACATATCCCTCCCTAACTCTACCCGTTATTCAATGCCACTTCTTACGCTCTCTCTCTTACAGCAGGGTTTCTCAGTCTCAGCATTAACAGCACTGGGGGCTGAATTAAGTCTTTGCAATGGCGGGTGCTCCTACACACCGCAGGACGGTAGAGGCATTCCTGGTCTCTGCCCGCTAGGAGCCAGTAGCATCCAGCTCCCTTCAGCTGTGACAATCAAGTGCGTCAGACAGTGCCAATGTCCCGCCTGAAGCACTCCGCAGAAGCCTCTGCAAACAGTAGGCACTCCTTCGGTATTGGACAAACTACACTGGGCTGTTACACGATCCTGTCTCCCACGCTTGGAGGTAAATCCAAAGCAAAACCAGTGGTATGACTAAAAGCAGGGCACAGGGTCTATGGCTACAAGTCACATTCCATTTGCTTATTTTTAAAGACAGTAGAGACGGATTAACCGCACAGGCAACTCTGTTGTCTATATACAGCAGTGTAAAAACCTCCTTGTAATCTGGCATACCCAATATTTTAACACAGGTAAGACCCAAGGGAACAAAAGGATAAATACTAATCCAAAATGCCTAAATGTTACATTTTTCACTTTTCATAAATTACTAATCTCAACATATTAAACGTGATTTTAAAATAAAAACAAACCTACCTTCACTGCCCAGAAGTCACATGACAATAATAAAATAATCGTCACCATACAGGCAATAAAGCTGGTGCTGAACAATTCACAGAGCAGATAAACCACAATCGCACTGACTCGAAAGAATAAATGGAAAAATGATGCCACTGGGTGTCTGAAAACCAAAGCATAAGAGAAATGAAATTATATTTTACTACAGATAGTAACAAATACAGAGTATGCATCACTTAAGTCCGTTTGGACATTTGCCTGAACACATAAATGTCGGTGGTTCCGCAAGCATGTTGCATGTGTATTATTTGCCCCTAACCTTTTAAAGATCCCCACCCCAGACTCTTATAGCACTTGTCCTCAGATGGATACGCAGGCAGGGGAGGCAGAGGAGACAGCCGTCGGAGTGGGCGATTCTGGGCCTTCAGGCGGAGGGGTTACAGGGACCAGACTGCTCCTGCTGCTCAAACAGGCAGGACAGTGGGTGGACTCAAAGCACCCCACTCCACTCCCACCCCTGCCTCCTTAACTGCCACTACTGCCGCTTCCAACCAAGAGTGGTGGTGGCAAGGATGGTCAGAAACGGGGCTCTGATAAGGTTTGTGTTTCTTCTCTTTTTTAAAAATCGTTCTATTGGGGCTCGGACAACTCTTATCACAATCCACACATACATCAACTGTGTAAAGCACATTTGTACATTCGTTGCCTATTAATATGGTATTCACACAACATCTGAATCACAAAACATTCTATTTCATTGATGCATCATGGATGTTAAGCAACACATACGTGTAGACAAGTACTGTCAACTGAACCAGCAGACGTCATCTCCCTCATCTTCTTCCTAACCCCACCCACCCAGTCATCAAGTTGGTGCTCTCAGAGAAACCCTGCAGGGCACAGCAGAACTGCTGACCATGTGGTTGTCAGCCCAATGCATACGCCACTATGCCACGGGGGCACTGTCCTCCACGTCCTCTTCTTTAACTAAGTTACAGAAAACAGCCCATCAACCTGTCTCTAAAGCGGAATCAAACATCACCTTTCACAAAATACCTAACAAAACCTTTCCCAAGCACGGCTCAGAGTGACCCTACTGACTGGAGGACAATGGGCTTTCCCAAACTTGGAGGAGAAAGGAAATCATACCACGAGTTGTGCCTTACGTCACACACCTAAAAATCATACCGAAGGGACTCTTAAGTTCTCAGAAACCACAGTTAGTGTTGAGAGTTTTGCTTTGCTTGGTTTTGTTTCACAGTTTGAGTTAAAATTCATTCATGACACAATTCACCAAATGAAACTGTACACGCCGGTGGCTTTTAGCATTGTCGCAGAATGACACCCCCATCACCACAGACACTTTCAGAACTGTTTGTGAAAAGAAGTCCTGGGTCTTAAAAAGGTGCAGCCACCAGCAGCCACTCCCTCACTTCTCTCCAATCTCCTCGCACCAGAAGGGAAGTGCTGTCTCTCACAATGGGCACTTCACAGCAATGGAATCGCAGGCGGCCCTTTGCGGCTGGCTTTTCACTTCTTTCAATCGCTGCCAAGGTCCAAAAAGAGTTATGTTTCATTAAATAATTTTTTTTAGAAAGAGCTAAACTGGAAATAATTAAGTATTTGGTATGTTTGGCTTACAATTGTTATGTTATTTTTTTACAAATGATGTCATTCTAGACAGCTGCACGACCAAGGAGTGGGGAGATGAAGCCCGAGGGTGGGGCCTGGAGTGGGCCAGCCTCAGCTCTCAGGGGTGGGGTGTGTGTGCGGGGGCGTGGCAGACAGATGGCAGCACTGCCCAAGGCCAGCAGGAGTGGGGCTGCAGGCTGCGGAGACAGGTGGAACAAAGCTCCGTCTCAATTACAGCTCCTGCTTGTCAGCCTCCTGCCGCCTTCCAAAGGCATTCCACCTCCACCTGATGTCACCAGAAGGAGGGAAGGGTGACAGATTCGGAGAACACACCCTTGCTCACCCACAGTGAAGAGGACCTGAAACACTCAACGAGCATCACAGGTGACAGCCTTCAGTACGGGTTACACCTCAACACTACAAACCAGGAACCTTCACAACTGGACCAATAAGCAACACCGGGAATTCATTTTACTTGGATCCACAATCAACACCCATGGAAGCAGCAATCAAGAAATCAAACAATGTACTGCCGTGGGGACTGTTGTAAAGATACCACTTTGAGGACTAAGGTTTGCTTAACCCAGGCCGTGCTATTTTCAGTCTCATATACATGAAAAGAAATAAACAAGGAGGACCAAGACCACAGAAGTATGATGCTGCTGAACAATGGTGTTGGCGAAGAAATTATTCCATCGACTACCAGCAACAAGCAAAACTATCCTGGAAGAAATACAGCCAGAACACTCCTCAGAAGCCAGGATTGCCTAGAGTTTGTCTGATCTACTTTGGACTTGTTGTCAGAGGAGAGGGGCAGGGAACAAAAGAAAGACCCTCAGTGGGTTAGACTGTCACAGTGACTTCGACAACAGGCTTGAACATAGGTCTAATCGTGAGGACGGAGCACGACTGGGCAGTGTTTTGCTGTTGCACACGCGGTTGCTATGAGTCAGAACGGACTCAACAGAACCTACCAGCAACAATATGTGAATAATGAGCAGTTTTGAGCTATAGATGGCTTTCATGAAAAATAGGAAAACATTTTAAGTGTTCCAAACATGTCATTCTGAAATTTGGACCATAAGAACGTAATGTAACTACAAAAATTAAAGACATGGCACTAACGTTTTTTAGTAATAAGATATGATTATTTGAAAAATCAGCACCAAGTAAATTTCCATATGCTAGATATGAAAATGAGGCACCACCTGCCAGCTGGTCAATTCCAGGGCATGGTGACACATCCAAGGGTTTGCGAGCAGACCTGTACTCCATGGGGTTTTCATACCCCAAAGGAGGAGCTCAAATGTCACGTCTATCTCAGACTGAAGGTCAACTTGGTGATGTGCAACATTCACATGCACATCTTAAGCAGTCCTCCTTGAACCCATCACCTGGCATCAGTCTATGGACAGAGCAACACGGCACACTAACAAGGCAAATGTCTGTTTAGTCAGCTGCATACCTGATTTTGGATTTTTTGGATCGGTTTGTTGTCTCCTCCTCTGCATCAAACAGTGAAACATCTTCAGTGTCATCATTACTGTCCTAAAAGAATAATTAAATATCCATGAAATTCAGTATTTTTCTGCCAACAAGGCAGCAGGCTGGTCAAAGAGAAGACAAGACTGCAATGTGGTCACAGTCATTAGGAATCCATAACCCAGACAGAACATGCAGTGACCTTCACCCTGCAGCCACCGTCCAGCAAACACCCCACATCGCAATCCAAGTATCTGCTCTCTCCATCCTCCCCGAGGGGCTGACCACTAAGAGGAAGCCACTGGTGGTGTAGGTGATGCTCACACAAATTACATCTTTTCTCAGCTGCTGCCTCTCAGTCACAGAGAACACCGAGGGCACAGGGATTACAAAATCACCTGACCGTACCCTCACCTCCATGCCCCTTCTCCTAACTCGCTTTCCCCATCGAGGATAACCCAATGGTTTGCGCTCCGGGTTCCTTTTTCCTGTCTCCTCGGGGGCTTGTTCCATAATTTCCCTTTTTTCTTCTTTCCTGTATTTTCAAGTCTTTCTGAGATCCTTCTAATCAGCATACAAACTTCTTAACTTACTGGCCAAAAAATGCCAGAGGGGCTTCATAAAGTTTGTGGGAAAATGCCATTTCCCACAAATGTCTTGAAACCCCCCATCATTTTTTAAAAATCATTTTATTAGGGGCTCATACAACTCTTATCACAATCCATACACACATCAGTTGTGTAAAGCGCATTTGTACATCCATTGCCCTCATCATTCTCAAAACATTTTCTCTCCACTTAAACCCCCGGCATTAGGTCCTCATTTTTCCCCTCCCTCCCCGCTCTCCCCTCCCTTAGGAGCCCTTGATAGTTTATAAATTGTTATTTTGTCATATCTTGCCCTGTCCAACGTCTCCCTTCACCCACTTTTCTGTTGTCCGTCCCCCAGGGTGAAGGTCACATATAGTTCAAAAACCCCTCATTTTTATAAGCTCTGATCCTGAATCTTTCTGGCTACCACTCCACAAGCATTCCTTCTTTTCGCAACCGGGATTCTATGAGTGGCTCACTCCTCACTCACTGTATAATTCACCTTCAGTCTCAACCACCACAGCGAAACTGCTCCTTCTAACTTTATTCTCGCCAGCCGTTACCAGCCTCTTTGCCTTGATCTCTAGCCTCTCCCCCACATTACCCACACATTAACTGTCCTAACATGGAAATCATACTGTCGCTCCTCAGTGTAATTTTGCCAACAGCTCCCTTACATGTAAAATTTAACTCCTTCCCAACCTGCCTGAGATTCCAGAGCCTGATCTCCAGACAACAAACACCAGACAACTCTTCACCCTCGACACTTCAGGGAAACTTATATACGTACTCTGAAACACTATGGTCTCGATCACTCTGCTTTTAACATGTCTTCAACCAGAAAACTCTTCCCTTCTCCCTACCTACCTCACCACAAGACATACCAAACTAACCTTAACATTTCTGTGCAAATACTGAAATAGCTAAGAAACTTTTCCTGAAATTCTCAAGCACACTCCCCCCACCCTTGCAGTTCTCACAGCACTCAGATAAATCTCTATTTTAACCATTATTATTCCTGGGTATTGTCACTGCAAACCTGAGATCCCTCAACTCTCCCCAGGTCTCTCAGTGACTATTAGGAAAGACTGGCTTCACAATGCAGGAAGTCCTGGCAGAGCACCTGTCCAGGTAGTACAATGTTTGTTGAAAAGATGAATGAATAAACAGAGGAGGCCATTACCTATAATACAGTGCACACTGTGATTACTATCAGTAGAAATATAAGTGCAAATAAGAACATGGGGGAGGTGGGTGAGAGAGAGGTTGGCTTTCATTAAAGAGGGCCAGACAGACATTTCCAGGAAGAAAGTTTGATAGACCAAGGTCTCCTGATCACTCCTCCCTCTCCTGGTTAGTCTTTACCAAAAGTACAGGGATGTGAATAAATTAAATATGTATAGGGAATGACAAAGAAGGCCATATAGGAAGTAAAAAAGTGGGGTAGGAGCTAAAGCTGAATATGCAAAATAGATTCAGATCTATTAAACTAAAGGTTCCCAATGTTAGCTAAATGCTGGTATTAGCTGAAGAGCCTAACAACAACAACAACAACTGATGGTAAACAAGGAAGCAAAATTGTTGTCTGGGTTCCTCCCCAGGGTTTCTGATATAATTGATCTGAGGAGTGGCCTGGGATTTAAGCTTCCCAAGTGTGACGACAAGGCTCAGAACCACGGAACAACGCACTGGGATCAAAGCTGGGGCCTTCCCCTCAGGAGCCCCACAGTCCAACACTCATTCATCCACTAGGATGGCATTGCACATGCAATCATACCGTCCCCCTGCTTAAAACCCACAGCACCTT